CTGGACCAATGGTTGTTTGTACTCTCCTTCCTCAATTTTTGAACCTTAACACTACTTACTTCTTATAACAAAATATCCAACATATTCTACAACATTGTACTATAACATGGTATATTAAGTCACTGAGATATGCTGTTTGACTGGAGTTAAATAGAAGAGAAGAAGAGAATAGAATAGAGGAGAGGAACTGCTGATGTAAAGGTTGATGTAGAAGGACAGGTATCAGTGACTAGATTAAGCAGCCCTTATGATCACCAGCACCAGTTCAAAGACTTCATGCTCAGTTGCAAACAGGACTCTAAGCAATGCTGTGAAAAGCTAAGTATATGGCTTGATTATACAGCTTCTAGAACAAACCTGAGCAGCAAGAACTTGGAAGTAATTGTTTTCTGTATGACTGATGATTGTGGAGCAATATTGGCCCACTCTTCTTTTGCTTCAGTTCATTCACGTTTGCAGGGATTTATTTATGCACAGCTCTCAGATCCCACCATGACATTTCAATTGGATTAAGGATTAGACTATCTGTTGCAATTACTGGCTTTAATGTGCTGCAAGTGGTGAAATGATAATTTCATGATTTTTAAAACTGTTTTGTTTAAACAACTTTTCTCTATTTAGTTTTTGCATACAGTGTACAGTAGTGGTATGGATAATGATTTGATAAGATGAGCTAAAACAAGGTGTAAGAATATCTCCCCCCAACTCTGCCAGGAGCCGCTCACCAGGTAGAAGCTGTAAGTAAGAAAGTTATCGGCTGTTGAAAACAGTTTGTAATATATATTCAAAATATTCAGAGCTGTGTGAAACCATACACTATACTTTACAAGCTGCTGGCTTGTGGTTTTCAAGCTTATGTTTCCTGCCTATGTGACGAACAAGCAGTTGCAGGGTTTATGACAACAATCCTCCATGATACCCATGAGCCTTGGGGGAGGGCGCGGCTACATGCAGATATCGTGCTAAGAAGTCTGTGAACCTTTTTTAGCACATAAACCTAGATAATTTAACAAGCAGATAGGTTCAATATCTGATAAGCTTTGCATGAAAAAAAAGGGTTGGCTTTATTATTTGGGCAAGAAGATGTTATCTCTGTGTCAAAGGCAGCATCACATTTGGTTTGCGGCACTTCTATTTTAGCAGAAGTTTGTTTCGTGTGAATGCTATGCAACTATTTTTCACATGTCAGATAAGAGAACAAAGAAATGGTGCTAGTATAGTAATAATAATATGTTGTTTTATTCATATTTTACATCTTATGCTTGTTATGCCTGCTTATCTAGCAGATAGATATTTTAACAAAGGCAAAATAGCCACAGATTACAGGTCTATAGAAGTTTGATTAGTTTAACTAGTCTAATAAATAAATAAATAACTAGTCAGGAAACCAACAGGGCCCAACATTTCTTGCTCTGTGTAGTATTGTTTTGTCACTATTCTGTGCACCTATTCTATTCGTAGCGTGAAACCCATTATAATTGTTTTTTTTTATTTTTTATTTTCTAATGACATTAGAACTGCCAACAACAGCCCGTGTTTGTACAGAGGGGACCAAAAGGAGGAATTTACAGCTCAATTCACTTTGTCCACATCTACACATGTTCATCTTACCCACTGACAGTTGAATCTTAGTGTAGTTTCCAACTCTCCACTGTGAGTCTGATCCACACCAGTATGTCCCAGCATCAGCTGCTTCCAGCTCTGTGATCCTCACCAAGAAAGAGTTGGAATAAGCATCATCTTGCAATGTGAACCTCCTTTGACTGGTTACGTTTGTGCAATTGTTGCGATGGTCTCCCTTACAGAAAAGCTTCTTGTAATCCCAGTTTTGTGCAGGATAAGGACACCGCAGCGTTAGTGGATGTCCTACTGTGCCATTTATTTTAATTGAGTTGAGACAGCACCACTCTGTCAGATTGAAAGACAAAAGATATTCAATACTCAAAAAATATTAAACTTTCTTGGAGCATGTTTGACAGAAACCAGTGCCATCTTAGGGCTGATGTAATGAGGTATAACTAAGACCTCTCACCTTGGACTTCCAGCTCAACATAAGTGAAAATGTCCAGCTCAGAGTTTCTGTGGACACCACAGAGGTATGACCCTGAATCATTTTGAGTCAAATTGTTAATGGTCACTGTGAATGTTCCTGACACTTTGTCATCATCAAGTGTGAATCGTCCATTTGATTTGGTGTCAGAGGTGATCAGTGCCTGCTGCAGACATGTGGAGGGCCGTGTTCCTCTGCAGATGTACTTCAGGCTGTTCTGGTACTGAGACTCATACGGACAACTGACAGACTCAGAGTATCCCTCATAACTTTGAACTTTGGTCACAGTGTCACAGCAGTTGTCTGTCGAGAAAGTAAAGAATATCAGAAGATGTGCTACTGCTACAGAATAGCTAGAAGAGACAGGTTTGTATTTTCACGTCATTCAGACTCTTTTTACATATAGGTATGCTCTCAGCCATCACCCTTTCTATCCTGAATTTACAGTTTTCAGACTTTAAATTCTTAAATCATTTTCAGTGCAATCACATTATAAAACTTTGTAAGATGTTTTATAAAGTTGCATTTTTTTCCCAACAGCTAATATGCTTCTATGACAGTTTAAATTTATTTGTATTTGTAAATGTATTTGTATGTATATGTCGTGTAGGTGTATTTACAGTGTTGTTACTGTTCTTCAGAGGTGGTAAAAGTAAAGAGTGTCAACTAGTGTTGAAAAATACTCCAGTAAAAGTTGAAGTGCAGATTCAACTTATTTAAGTGCACCTAATTGTACTTAAGTACAGCTATTTCCCACCTCTGCTGTTCTGTACACATTGACATTTGACCCCCCCTCCCAATGATGTCAACGGTCACATTTCTATTTAAGACTTCTTTATCTACTAATACTATTATCCTGAAACTGTTGTCATTACTTTCAACTTCATTCATTATGAATTGTATTCACATTCAATGTACAATTAAATTTTGTCAAGCCTTTATTTACCTCGGACTAATTCCAGCTTGACTTCAGTGTAGATATCGCTTCCAGTTCTGGTCACCCCACACCAGTATTGCCCAGCATCCACAGAATGAAGATCAGAGATGGTTGCTGTGAAGATTCGTGCTGTTTTGTCATCATGGATCCCGTATTTGTTTATCACTGGATTTGATGTTGTAATAAGAACATCATAATTGCCACAGTCATTCTTGCACAGGTACTTTTCATAAGATTCATAACCCTCATCATAAGAGCAGGAAACGTTAACCTCTCTCCCCACATATCCAGTCACATGGATCACCTCCACTGCGGTGGTCACACATCTCAGAACAACTGTAGAAATAATGTGAAAACATTATGCTTTGTCAGCTTTCATACGAGTAATGTAAGTGCTTTTTTATAAGAAATAAACAAACCCAACAGAGTGTGTGGCGGAGTGTGCTCCATAATTCTAAAACAGATAAATGTACTATTTAATCTACACCTGCCTTTAATCTTTGTATGTTCACTTATCTAGTCATTTAAACAACTTACTGCAGAGGGTAAACAGCAGGTTATGAAGGCTCCACATCTTTCCTTTGGCTCATCTAAATAGAATTATGCGCACACAGTGGTCATTTCAGGCAGAACTAGACTGTCAGCACATAGGGGATGGAACATTTTAGATGGCCCTTCCTTTAAAGGCGTTTCAATTATTTGTCTAATAGCTGACATATGCCATCTAGTGGTGAAAGTATTTAGAAGCATTACATAAACAGCACAATGAAAAATTATTTAAGTATATTTTGGAAACTATACTTAAAGAATTGAAAATCCAACACCTTCAGTACAGAAAAATGACCCATTTGAGGTGTATAATTTCTTTTTATTATTACTCATACCGAATTTCCCAGAGGAACCCACCCGAGGGATTAATAAAGTTTTATCTTATCTTATCATGTATTAATACGAAAGCAATATTAATCTGCTAATTGTGCTTTGGAAATGTTTTAATAATTGATCACCATATTGGTTTATTCTCCCTTACAGAAGCCTGTTTAAAGCAGGAGGACTATATTAGATTGAAAGAATAGCCATGAGTTGCACTAATTTTCAGAATCGTTGAAGCACAGGGCTGGGGAGGTGGTGTGACAATTTTAAAATAAACTACAAACACCTGGTGAGGGTATTTTTTGAATGGGTTTAATCACACGTTGCAACATGGAGACTGCACTCTGGTCAAATGCCAAAGTGGTCTCTGAAAATGGATGCCACACTGATCTCTTATGTACAACACACAGAAAAAGATATTCCACAACTCTTACATGTTGCCATCACATTATCTCACATGCATATACGTTTAGCTCAGTTTATCCTTGAAACCAGGAGAATTACGACCATGCTGTCACCTCCCTACCTCACAGAGACGAACACCAGGCACCCAATGCCTATCTATCCAACACCCTGGATGTCTCTGGCCTATACTCACAGGTCTCACTGTGTGTGGAATCACAGATGTGAAGCTTTCCTATATGTATATAACTATGTGACAAGGTGATACTACTATTACTAAGGGATGAAAGGCTGACACTTAGCCTTGTATGCTCTAACTGAAAACTCAAAAGCCAGCTTTATGTTTAGAATCTATCATTCTCGTGGCTTTTACTTAAATGTTCTATCTGAATAGTTATTCTTTTATCTGATTTTGTGTGGACGTCAAGTAAATGCATCACTTTGTAAAACTCTGGATACTGTGGCTCCTCTACACATCTTCAAAGCTTTAAAACAGAAGACTCTCTGGTGTTTAATGCCTAAAATGTTAGCAAAAAGTTTAGCACTATGGCTAGTGTGAAATATCTGCTACGTAATTTTTTATATTTTACAGTTACATGCTGTGACATGCTTTCTGCTACAGTCATTTCACAATTTCACAGAAAGATTCTAAATCATCTTTTGTCAAAATGAAAAATTTAATTTTCTTTCTTTTCTTTTTTTCCCCCGTCTGTCCCGTTTGGAGCTCCTCTCTGCCTATGCTCCAGGAAAAACCACGAGGTCTCAAATCTCAAATCCCGTGGTGATATTTCCTTCTCTGTTGCAGGTCCCAGACTTTGGAATAGTCTGGGATCTGCACAAACACTTGAGCAATTTAAATCATTACTAAAGACACATTTCTATGCCCTGGCTTTTAACACACTATGACCCAAGCATTTTGGTCTTATTTGAA